ACTTGTCAACCTCCAAGACACATCATGAATCCTTCATTGCAAAGCCTCACGTCTCCATTAAGACATTTTATAACTTGCAATGTCATACACTATTGCAGTGACACCCAGCACAGGGCATAGTATATAATAAGCCATAAACACATGGATGAATAGACCCTTTGATCTATTCATTAATGGAAAAGTTTACTTAGGGACTTGGACAATCTGAGGTATGCAAATAAACACTGACTGTCGAACAGTGGAATGGTAACTCAGGCAGGATTGGTAGTTTATGCATATGATCCCAGCCCTTGGGGGGAGGGGGAGCTGAGACAGTCTGCCATGAGTTCAAAGCCAGACTGGGCTACACAGAGCCAACCTGCCCTGGCAACAGAAAGAGGCTTCGAGGCTTCAAAAGAATGAAAGAAAAATAGAGATGGGAGTGGGGTAAGGAGAAAGGGAAGTAGGAAAAGAAGGAAAGAAAAGGGAAAAGGTAGTTCAGAATCCAAAGTGAGTTGAGTTGGAAATTATCTTCACATAGTATCAACCAGCTGAAGGTGGCAGTGACAGATAGGTCACCCAGGTTTAGGACAGATTGTAAAAAAGGGCTCTGTGCCAAACCGTGGCGAAGCTGGAAAGCAGTGAAGGACAAGTCGACTGGTGGGAAAGAAGCAAAGCTAGGTGTCAGGGATCTCACAGAGATACACTCACGCTCACTCCGCACACAGCCATCTTTACCTTTGCTCACCGCAGCAGATGGCTTTAGGGCAGAGTACCCAGATGGTGGTGTGGAGCCCCACTCCTAGAACCCCATAATCCCAGCTTCCGGGAAGCAGAGGCAAGAGGGTGACAACCCTGCCTACAAAACAGTACAAGTGACCTAATGAGAGAGAGCCAGAGATAATGGGAGGAGGGGGCAGGGAAGGGAGGAGGGAGCAGAGAAGGGAGGGGGAGCACGGTAGGGAGGGGGAGCAGGGAAGGGAGGGGGAGCACGGTAAGGGGGGAGCAGGGAAGGGAGGAGGGAGCAGAGAAGGGAGGGGGAGCACGGTAGGGAGGGGGAGCAGGGAAGGGAGGAGGGAGCAGGGAAGGGAGGAGGGAGCAGGGAAGGGAGAGGGAGCACGGTAGGAGGGGGAGCAGAGAAGGGAAGGGAGGGGGGAGCAGAGAAGGGAGGAGCACACCAGTGCGCTCTGGAATGACTATATCAAGCCAAGTCATAGACAATTACCTCATACTTATTTTTTTGTGGTAGGAACAGTGAAAATCTACTCAACAATTTTCAAGACTATGTTATTAACCAGGGTCACCAAGTTCAGATACATCTCTTAAAGGCATTCCTCGGATCCACGGATAACAATGCATCCTTTAACCAACATCCTCCCAATCCCTCCTCCAGGACACCTGTTCTGCACGCACAAAGCAACTGAGGTATGCTTGAGACTGTGGCTTAGCAAGTGACTGGGAACCGGGGTGTCTGAAGTTTTGCTCACGCTGGTAGAGTGAAAACCAGGGGCATCCCGTTACTTAACAAACGTTCTGAAATGCTGGCACTCAAGGCAAGCTGTTCAAGTTTCTGTCACAGATGAGGAGGAGCTCTCGAAGCCTCACCCATAGCTGAGGAGTTGGGAGAGTCAGTTACCTTCAGGGAACTGCCCTTGGTAGGTTGTCCACCCTCTAGTGCATGGTTCTACATCCCTGCACATGTGGACATGTTCCAGTGCATGGCTCCACACCCATACACATATGGACAGCAATGAAGAGACTCACTCACTGCACTGGAAAAGGACATGACATTGGGAAAACATAGCAAAGGACGGAAGTCATCTGTGAAGATTCAAAGAGCAAATGGCAGGTTCTGAAGATCAAAATGCATCACACACATGTACCAAACCCTCAAAGAACTGGCTGTTTGGGGTTTGGGTATGTTTTTGTTTTGTTGTTTTATTTTGGTTTTGTCCTAGGCTGCCCTTGAACTCATGGAGATTCATCTGCCTCTGCCTCCAGATAGCTGGGATTAAAGGTGTGCACCATTACAACCAGCTGAGTTTTTTTGTTGTTGTTGTTTGTTTTGTTTTGAAGAAAAGAAATGCTGGTTCACATCTGTTATCTCACGACTTGGGAAGTGGAGGCAGAAGAATCAGGAATTCAAAGCCCATCCTTGGGTAGAGGCCAGCCTGAGCTGCATGAGACATGCTATGAAAATGACACTTCTTCAGGTACGTGGGGTACATTCAAGAACATTAGTTTCCAACAGGGTTCTAACCCTGGAAAAAATCTTGAATTCCTCAGTGACTCAAAGACACTCAACTAAGACTATGAAATTAAAAGGCTAGTCATAAAAAGCCTTCAATATTTGACACATGGTCAAACCAACAGCAGGTTCCTCATAAGTGACAGGTGCCCAGTGTTAGACTAAGGATATTAATTAGAGGTAATCAAAGAGAAAAGTGGTCGTTTCAAAGGTATAATCTCACAGTGACATGAGCAGGGTGAACAGCAAAACCAGAACTGTTGCACATGAATTTACATGACCACTCCGTGCCTCAGTTTCTCTACTCATAGAATAGAAATGATTATATGCATACCCTCAAGTGTTGCTTGAGAGATGAAAGGAATGTGTATACAGCCCTAGAGTCAAGTGTGGTGATATACTCCTGTAAATGCAGGAGGTAGTTGGTAGAAGCTCAACCAGGGCTGCTGCTAAATTTGCTGTCTACACATCTGAGGTCCGGACAAGCTTTGGGTCTGTAAACAACAACACTAACCATTAGAAGAGTGACACCTCTAGCTGGGGATGTATGTAGCTCAGTGGGTAGAGTGCTTGAAGCCCTGACTTCCTGGAAAAAGGCAGAAGGATCACATGTTCAAGGCTATGCTCCAACATAATCAATGGGAGGCCAGATTCGGTGGCTGGGGGTGGGAGGGTGGAGGGATGGGGGACTTGCTTAATAACTGTTTAGTCAAGGGTTTAATCTTACTATTACTCCAGCTTCACTATTTCTCATAACCATTTGACTTTGGACTACACAGGCAATAAACAGACCCACCAAATCCCATCAGCAACCAGGACATAATACAAAACTCTTTAAAACTTGCAAAGACTGGAGAGGTGGTACAGGGGTTAGGAGCACTGACTGCTTAATCTTATAAAGGACTTCGATTCACTTCTCAGAGCCCACATGGTAGATCACACCTGTCTGTAACTCCAGTTCCAGGGATTCTGACGCCCTCACACAGACATGCATGCAGGTAAATCTCCAATGAACATTACATAAAATTATTTTTTAAAACAACTTTCAAAGACAAGTCTATATAGTACTTGCAGTATTTAATAAGTAAAGCTTATCTTGCAAATACTAGTCAATTGTCTTAGCAATGAATAGACTTCTCACCATTGCATCTAAGAGCCAACACTCAAAGCCATACATCAATTAGTTTCTGATTGGGATTTTGGTTTGGGGAGGATGACTGGGGAATTCCTGAATTCTTAAGCAGAAAAACTGGCATGAAAATAGTTGTCCAGTTTAGAAGAAAACAACTGTCCTTTAATGATTTATTTACTACACCCTAACACCCATCGTATGAAATGAACAGCTAAGTATATTAAAACAGCCTTAAGGGGGTGCCTATCAAAGAGGTATTTCAGAAGAAAAAAAAATACCCCAATCCTTCACCAAAAAATAGATATAAAAAAGAAACTGTCTCCTACAGTTTCTGCTTTGGACTTGGTCTAAACAATATTTCTTCCAGGGAACTCAACCTCGAGTACTCAACTTTAGTTTGTTTTACAAAACAAAGGTGTGTGGGATACACTGAGCAGAATGGTTCAATGGCCCTTCATGTTTCCCACAAGATTTAATTTCCACATTTCAGACAAGCCTAGAAGATCTGTATCAAAAAATGTGGCGATGGGGAGGTAGCCTCGGATCCACAGATTAGACGTTTTAATAGACTGGTGACCCCATGAGTAATGTTCACAGCTGTGGCATCCAACAATGGAATTAACATTTCGACAGGAAGCAGAGAGCCATCCCAACAGACAGCCTGAGCTGCCACCATCAAAATCATCTTTGGTGACTACACTGAGTGTGCGAGCCTCCTAGAGTTGAACGTGCCGATTCTTTTTATGATTCAGTTGGTTTTAAAATGCTAAGTATAGTCAATGAGATCAACTAGTTAAAAAACAGGAACAGATCAATTTCTAAGTGTCCGAATATTTGTGCGTCCTGGAGTCCAGGCATTTTTTAAAATGCCGTTTTTTCCTTCTACTGGAAAAAGGCTCTGCAGCCGAAGGATGAACTAGACGATTCCTAACATCACACAACTCACCACCTGAACGTCGTCTTAAAAAAAAAAAAAAATCAACATTACAAATCCGGGCTAACTCCACCCCAACACTGACTTCAGACCGTCGGCTCCCCAACACCCGGTCTAGGGTTGGCTCGGTCGAGCTGCCAGTTCTTTTTGAGACCAAAATCCAGTCGGCTAGCGTAGCTTGGGTGCTCCTTTCCTAGAAGTAGGCAGGACGATTGACACCAAAAGGCTCAGTCTTCTCTCAATAATGGCGTTTGTAATTCAGCCTCCCCGCCTGGACTATCCGATACCTAAAAACTCGCAGACCGGAGGCTGGAAATCGGGGAATGCTGGAGGACACAACAGCCCAGGCAGACGCGGGAAACAGACAAGGGCAGATAAAGCAAAGTGGTCCCCCAGGGTAACCTGGCCTGGAGGCGCGCCCAGCACGCCGCTTCGTGAGCCCCGGCGGCCACCCCAAACGTGCGATCTGGTCCCCGCTCCGCAGCCGCCCCGACGCCCCACGCCCCCTGCGCGGCTCCCGGGGCAGATGCACTCTCCCGGCTGGCGCGCGCGGCCGGGCCAGATCACCCCGGTCGCATGGGTGCCCACCCGCCACCACCAGAGCAGCGCCCCAAATTGAGCCGCCCCCTCCCCCCACGCCCCATTGTTCCCGGGAGGCCGCGGGCTGCGAGCGCTAGGGACCGGGGACAGTGGGATGCCCCACTCACCCGCAACCCCGCACAGGAGCACGAAGCACAGCAGGAGCGCCATGGTGGCTGCACGGTCGTAGCTTGCAGGTGAAGGATCCCTAGCTGGGGACCTCGGTTTTCCAGAGCCTGGTACAGTCCCGACTAGCTCCCGGTGGTGGCAGCAGCGAAGGCACCTCTGCGCCCCGCCCCAGCTCGGCAGGTGAACGCGTCACTTCCGGCAGCAGCCTGGAGCCCCTTTGGCAAAAGCCCGCAGTGTTGGCGCCCTGGGGTTGCCATGGAAACTGGGCGCAGCGCGCGTCCCCCCCCCCCCCCCAGGGTACCTTCCAGTTCCCGCCGGCTAGCGCCCTACACCTGCTTAGGCGCACTGGGAGCCACCTCCAGCTCCCCCAAGCCTTCTTCCCTTGGTTAAATTGCTGCTTTGTGAACTAGGGGCCAGCCTGCCAGTCTCACCGCTGAAACTGCAGTCACGCCCTCCTCCGGGGACGGCTCCAGGCCAGAATCGCTCCCTCTCCCTAGACCCTGGGCCAGCCTCCTACGCGCCACCCACCCCACAGCGCCCGCCGGATTCCGCGGTCTGGGGTGCGGACCTCCCGCCACCCGTGTGCCCTTCGGCGATCCGACAGCTCCGCGAATCTGTCGCCTTCTTTTTGAATGATAGGTTCCCAGTGAAGGCTCGGGAGAGGCTTTTCTTCCGCTCCTGTATACACTGGAACCGTAAAATGCGGCTCCAGATTTAGCAAATACTTTGGGCTTTTCTCCTGCTTGCGTGTATGAGTCAACCCGGCCCTGAAATTACCCCACAAGGACAAGGGAGCTAGCTCTAAAAGTGGGTCTAAATGCATTAGGTGGGGTGAACTGGAGGTTCCTTGGGAATTAGGGATTTGAACAGTCTCAGCAATCTGCCCTGTGGCTCTCCCATGCTATTGTCCTCAGGCTTGTCCTCCCTGCTTATTCTTGGTTGCTCTTGCCAGATAACATTTATTTTTAACTGTAGAGATGTGGAATTTCACAAGAGCCCCGTATCAGGAGACAGAAAATAGAAACCACCAGGGCAATGGCTAAGACTTGGGGGGGGGGGGTTGGGTGGGCAAAGTGAGAGAGAAATCGTGCATGGAAAAATGCTTGGCACCCCGCAGAGCACATGGGAACTGCTCAGCAGGTAGCCGCTAATAAAGAATGTTGGGAATGGCTTGTTTATTGAACCAGAAGGGAAAACAAACAGGTGCGAAGGTGTGAATAAGGGTAGTCTCATTTGGCTTATATCTTTAAGTGCTTAGTCACCAGGGCGTGGCAATATTTGAAAGGATTAGAAGGATTAGGAGCTGCAGCCTTTTGGAGTAGGTGTGGCCTTGTTAGAGGAAGTGTGTCACTGGGGGCTGGCCTTGAGGTTTCAAAAGGCACAGATAATCATTTTCTCCCTGGCCTCTCCCCTTTTACCCCTGTCCCCTCTCCCCACACCCCTCTCTCTTCTCCCCTGTCTTGCCTTATAAATCAGCATGTAGTTGTCAGCTACACCTGCCATGGCCCCTGCAGTGATGATATTGAATTAACCCTCTCAAACTCTTTTCTATGAGTTACCTTGGTCATAGAATAATGATTAACATAGATGTATAACCAGACTTAAGTCTAAAAAAGCTCCTTCAGGGGGAAAAAGGGTGTAGTCCAGGGGGAGGTACACTACGAAACTAAAAAGCTCAAAGAGTTTGCTAATTTGTTCAAGCAGAAGTCTGGAGAATATATGTAGGGATAGGTTTTAAGTGTGTAAGATCAAGATGGAAAGACCATAAAGCTGGAGCAGGCTGCGTTTATTGATATGAGCCCTCTGAATTTGGACTCTAGGAAGCTCGAACAGTTAACAAAGGTGTCAAAAGTCTGAATAGTTAGCTAAAGCATTTGTCAAAAGATGGCCTCTGGAAATGAGTTGGAGATGTCTGATATCCCTTGGCTTGGTGATGATGAAGGATTTTAAGGCTCGGTGGACTGCATGAGCCTAATCCTCCACATTGGGAAGGTTCAGAAGATATGCCTTTCAGGAATTCTGTAAGGTGCAAAATTGGGAGAAAGGCCCCAGAACATTGAACAGGTTTGTTGTTGACACTTTTCCCATGCCAGACCTTAGGGTTGAGACCCTGCTGCTCATTTGGATGAATGGAATGAAATGGGTTTAATTGGGTGGTTACCGTAATGAGAAGCATAGACAAAACAATGTCCGAAATGGCCTGACCTGAATGGTCAGCTCAGGCAAAGTGAATTTCATGGTGGCCTGACTCATATAGCCATTTGATGCTGGCCAGTCAGTCATGGTGTTTCTAGGCATGGAACAGAAAAGAAGCCTACTGATATTTTGGATTGTGACAAAAGACAAAAGGTGGTTTCCAGACTTGAGCCAGTTTGCAGACCCAGAACTCATTGAATGAAAAGATGGCCAGGTTCCCCTTAGGAGAGACCTTGATAAAATACTTAAATGTTTTACTGCTAGCCTTTCTATAGTCCTTCCCCAGAGGCATCCGTGGCCTTTTTCAGGGATAACTGTACACTGGGGGAAAGAAAATAATCAAATACTCTGGGGTCTGTTGGATACTGGTTCTGCATTGGTGCTAATTCCAAGAGACACTCCAAAAATACTGGGACTTGGGAAAGTCAGATGACTAATGGGTATTGTGGTTAAATAAGGATCAGGATAAACAAATTGGCCAAACAGATGTTTATTCAGGGATAAATAACTTACAACCTAGACAGATGAACACCAGCAAGTTCCACTGGATGCTCTCCTCTCCACGACCTGCTGCAAGAGAGCGGTTCCTGGCTCTTCCTCAGACCTCTTTCCACAGGTCACTTCCACCCCTGGCTCCACCCCCCAACAGGCGTGGTCAGTGCCACAGAAGGAAACAAAGTGAATATTCCACTACAAAGTCTTACTTTCATACCTACAGGGGGTCCTCAAACTCATCCTGTGGTCCACTGGCCTCAGAGTATATAATTGAGATAAATAGAAGTCAGAATTCCAATATTGATTCCCTGACCAATGAAGTGAGAGCTATTATAGTTGGAAAGGCTAAATGGAAGCCTTTTGAGTTGCCTCTGCCAGGAAATATAGTGAATCAAAGATAGTATCACATCCTTGGAGGAACTGCAGAAACTCATGCTACTATCAAGGACTTGAAAGATGCAGGCTTCTGAATGCCGCATGCAGTTCTCTGCCTCTGCCTCTGTGTCCAGTCCTGTAGTTCTTATTGAACTCTGGGCCTCTTTTATTTACCCTGTTGTAATTATTATGTAATGGTGTGTGTGTGTGTGTGTGTGTGTGTGTGTGTTTGTGTGTGTGTGTGTGTAGAGCAATGTGTGCTCTAAGAGTTAATGTTAGTAATTAACTTTGGATTAGAATAATCTATAGTTGTTAACAGCTAGCAAGAAGATTCAGTACTAAATTGTGGTCAACAAAACTGATGTAACTTATGAACTTATTTAGTAAATTCTAATGTTGTAGAGATACAAATGATCCAGGTGTGATGTATTCACAGTGACAGAGAGGGGGTGGGGGAGGGAGAGAGAGAGACAGAGAGAGAGAGACAGAGGGAGAGAGAGAGAGTCATTCTGTAACAGTTTACTCCAAGAGTAAAACGTTCCATCTTGCAGGAATTTAAAGAAGGGAAACAATTGAAAATAGCTCAGGAAGTCTCAGAAACTGACCAGATTCGCTAGGTCCCTCCCTCACGGAGTACACATGAAACCTGGGAGTTCTCAGACAGAAGAAAGCTGCTCTACAAAGAGGTCTCTCTGATGAGCCACACTGCCAACAAAGCTCATCCAAGCTTAGATGCAGACCCAGAGACGAGACCAGCTGCCCGCAAGAAGCTGAAACCAGCCAGAGCTGTCTGGAAGAGGAGGAGACCAACCGAAGTTCCAAGAAAGGACATCCAACCTGTGGAGCTGCCTACAGGTGCAGTGTGCTCCAGGTTCCCGGCTTTGTGAGCAGTCACCCGTTGGGGTGGGCTTTGGTGATGTGCCTGTCTTTGAATCATTGCTGCTGCTGTAAGTAAACCTTCACCCGTATTCCCATAAGTAACCCTCATAAAACCCATTGGCTTACCAAAGTGCACTTGGTGATATCTGCACTTTGGTCTGTTGTGGGTTCCCTATCTGGAGTGAGTAGATTTGTATGTTACATCTCCCCAGGAAAAGTTTTGCCTCTCCAAAGCCTGAACCTCCCAATAATAATTCTAATGTAATCTGATTTAAATAGAATCCTAGCTTACCTAAAGGGAGTCCAAGTGTAAGAGTTGAGACAGTGTGAACACTCCCCACCCCATAGAGTGCCCATAAATTGAGGAAATAGGACTTCCACAATACAGCTGCAGATATGTAGGACTCAAATTGGAAATTTTTACCTTTTATTTTATGAAATCAAGCCATGCCTGGCATTGGTGGCACATGCCTTTAATCCCAGCACTTAGGAGGCAGAAGTAGGTGGATCCCTGTGAGTTTGAGGCCAACCTGGTCTACAGAGCTAGTTCTAGGACAGGCTCCAAAGCTACACAAAGAAACCTTGTTTCGGAAAAAAAAAAAAAAAAAAAAAAAAAAAAAACAGCCACTAGAAGTATTATTGAAGTTATTTGGATCCATTTCACAGCTGTGAGGACTTTTCTTCCTATTGATCTCTATGCTGGCTGATTGTAAATCAACTCATCAATTTGACATGGGCTAGAGTCATCAGAGACGAAGGAGCCCCGACTGAGAAATTGCCTCCATAAGACTCTGCTGTAGGGTAATTTTCTTAATTAGTGATTGATGGGGGGAGGCACCAGGCCGTTCATTGTGGGTGGGCTGGTGGTCCTGGGTTCTATAAAAATGCAGGTTGAGCAAACCATGGGGAGCCTCTGCATCAGCTCCAGTATCCAGGTTCCTGTTCCATTTGTGTTACTATCCTTTGTTCCTTCAGTGATGAGCAGAGGTTGGGAAGCTTAAGCTGGGTCACTCTGTTCCATCATACCAACTATCACCGTACCTTAGACAGTAGTAGCACGTGTTTGTCACAATACTGCTATTCCCATCTCCTGCTGTGGAAATCAAACCCGCTCTGTGAGGACCATGTTGGTCTCTCACTGGACTAAATCTTAGAAATTAATTCAAAGGGATACTTACTTATTTGACTCTCTTTCCTGGCACTTTTTTTCTTAAAGTCCTCATGTTTTAACTACTGGGATAGG